ATGATACTAAATATTTCTACAAAAAATTTGAAACATAAATACTTAGACATAAACTTTGAAACAATATACTGATTGTTTCTACAAAAACTTTAAAACATTTTACTGAATGTTTCCACAAAGACTTGAAACTTTATACTGTATGTTTCCTAAACAAACTTACACATTAAACTGAAAGTCTCGACATTAACTTTGAAACATTACACTAAATGCTTCCCCAAAAAACTTGAAACATTATACTTAATGTTTCGACATAAACTTTAAAACATTATACTGAATGTTTGAGACAAATACTTCGAAATATAAATTATAACGAATGTTTCACAAAGACACTAATTAGAGAAAATGTGTTAAACATTCTGTAAATTGTTAACTGGATATGCAAGATATTGTAAGAAACAGTACACAACTCATTATATAGCCCTGAGCAAATATATCCTGACCTTAAATATGTAATTAGATCATAAGCATATTAACCAGGAGCAAAGGATAAGATGTTAAAAGAAATCATGCATTTCACTATATAATCATTAGAGCCCCACCCTAAAACAAGAACCCCTGACCTTGGGGCCATAAAATTGACAATTTTGGGTGAGGCACTCCTGCTCATCATAACTATGTACTTAGTTAGTTTATTTAATACCCAGGAGCAGAGAAGACGATTTTCAAAGAATTCATGTATTTTCACTATATAATCAATACAGCCCCACCCTAAAACCAGAACCCATGACTCTGGGGCCATAAAATTCACAATTTTGGTAGAGGCACTCTTGCTCATCATAACTATGTACTTAGTTGGTATATTTAATACCCAGGAGCAGAGAAGAAGATTTTCAAAGAAATAATGCATTTTCACTACCTACTTATTTAACCCCGCCCTAGCACTAGAACCCCTGACCCAAGGGCCATGAATTTCACAATTTTGGTAGAGGACTCATTGCTGGTTACAATCATGCAAACTGACTACTTGATGTCCAGGAGTAAAGAAGAAGATTTTTAAAGATTGCATTAATTTTAGTGGTTTTGGCCCCACCCCTCAGGCCCCAGGGGTCAGGGATCATGAAATTCACAATGTTTGCTTCCCTTCACCCATAGATGCTTTGTGCCAAATTTGGTTGAAATTGGTTCAGTGGTTGTTTCCCTTCACCCATAGATGCTTTGTGCCAAATTTGGTTGAAATTGGTTCAGTGGTTGCAGAGAAGAAGCTGAAAATGTTCAAATGTTAACGGACAACGCACGACACCGGACGAAAACAGATAGCAATAGGTCACCTGAGTTTACTCAGGTGACCTAAAAAGCAATGGTGCCTTCTTCAAGGCCTCTGGAATAAAACACGATACAAATTCAATTGTTGGAAAGTTGTTACATGATACTCAGGTGACCTATAAGACCCGTGGGCCTCTTGTGTTTTCTAGTTGATGTATCTTATGCCGGCTTTCGTCATGTAAACTGAAATAAAAACTCGGCAATTCTATCACTGATGAACACCAACGAAATCAATGCAAAAAAAAAGTTCAACTGATGCCGCCCATTATGTGACGTAAGCAATATCTCATCAACAGGCCAACATCTCACTTCAACATCAAACATCGCTTTTTTATGACTGCTCAGTAAAACATTTGATGTGTTAAACATGTGAAGTAAAGATTTATAAAGGAGCAAAATTTAAAGTTTAAGATAATTAATTCCTTGAAAGGTTCATTTCATTTCTACTAAATATCTGAAAACAAATAAAAGAAAATATTAACAGCCTTAAAGAACCTGCGGTACTACGTTGCAGTAGTAAACATAATCAATGTGGTATAATAGTTAAGTCATGACACTGAAAATTTGTTAGAACTTAAGTAAACTTTGAGATTGGTTTTACCTCTACTGGTCAGAGACCAGTAAGGTAAGGTGTCCGGCGTCCGTCCGTCTGTCCAATTTTCAATATTACTTGGCGTAATGCAGGGGGGGGGGGGGCGTAAGGGGCGCATCCTCCCTAAAATTTTCAAAGTATGACATGACTCATATTTTATTTAATGGCTAAATATCGGTTTTCTTACAAACCTTGCATTTCCTAGACTATGAATATTATCTCATAATTATGACTCTTCAGCACAAACACGAACAGCTGAAATTTTCGTCTCTTGAATTATCTACACAACAGGAAACTGATTCAGTGGCGTCTGTCCCTCACGTCCATTAAAGCTGAACACGATTCGTAAAAGTAATGTGCCCGCCATTTTTGTTCTCGAGTTTCGCTACTCTGCAGACCCCTATAAATAGGGCAGGACGTAGTCACTGTCCAGTGTAATCAGTCGACACCAGTGTAGACGGACGTTTGCTTCACAGGACTCGGTAGCGAGAATAATAACGTAATACTTCGTCTAATGCAGGAAAGTAAGATACCAAAAAAATTTACAATTATAGTTGTAAAGGTCAGTGCAGTATATAACCAACACAAATAAACGTAACTGCAATAAAATATAAACAAAGGTAATGCAAGATAATCAGCACGAACACGGGTTGCCATTCCACGCCGATACCAGTGACAACAAAGCAGCCAGGTGTAACGAATGCGACGAGTATACCCCAGTATTGATGTATTGAAGATAATGCTATCGAAATTGCGTATGCCTATTTACGAGTCGTGTTCAGCTTCAACCTTTCAGAGTCTATTGGAAGGACATCAACAAATCACCCCGTATCCACTTCAGCCTTCAGCGAAAACACTTCCTTTTTCAACTCTCTAGAGCTTGTGAAATATGAGCAACTAGCGAGAATCCTACTACAACGATGCTATTGGCATCAAGTCATCAACATCCATCAACAAATGTGCTTGTTAATAATCAGCCTCAGAATGCAATGAACCGAATCGGTCCTTTCAAAATTGTTTTGCTACTGACATTTCAAGATACTTGAATGATTCAAATCTTCTTACGATGAAATAAAGTATTCCCTTGTCCAAAACAGAAAACCAGTTGCAGATTACATATTTCCATCGCGCATTTACAAGGATAAAAGTAGACGCAGTGACATTATTTACAGACGATGCAACATGCAGCTCTTTGATTTTATTACATAATCTGAATCGAAAGATGGGTTATTTTGTCTCAGTTGCGTGCTTTTTCCAAACATGTCTCAAAAACGACCCAAGAAACTAATTACAGAACCATATTTTAACTGGAAAGATGCACGTGATGATTTAAAACAGCATGCCGTCTGTGTATATCATTTATCATCAATGACCCAATTACCTGCTTTTGTGTAAACACACACTGAACCAAGACAAAGAATTGACTGGTCAATAAGATCCACTAGAGCTGAAAGAATTGAAAAAAAAAAACCCAGAAAATTCATATCGTCAATCAGAATCACTCATATTTTGTGGCGGACAAGGTATATCTTTACGTGGCCACCGAGATGATGACACTTGCAGATAAGAATTTTTAAACATGGAAAATTCCAAAGAACTAGTCGCATTTTGTGCAACTTGCGGAGACGAACTGCTGGACGAACATATGAAGACCTGTGAAAAAAATGCGACATACGTATCAAAAACATAACAAAATGAAGTACTCCTCTGTATTAGGAAGTTCATAAAAGATGAAATTGTGCAGGAGATTCAACGTCAGCCAATAAGCCCAAACTATTAGTGTGATGAGATGACAGACGCCAGTAATTGGAAACAGCTTGGTGTGGTTATACTATATGTTGCCCATGGGAAACGTATTGAATGGCTTCTTGAATTTATAGAGTGTGAGATCACTGGAAGGACCATTAAAATATAAATGTAAATTTATTATCTCGTGTATGAATGCAGTTGAACTGGATCCGAGCTACTGTCGTTCCCAAACAATGGATGGTGCTGAAAATATGGCTGGTAGACATTTCGGTTGTGTATCACAATTTTAAAACCAGTCTCCTCTAGCTATATATAAATACAGGTCACAAACCATCTACCAAAAGATGATTAGGCTACTATGTAAAATGTAGGGGGGAGTTTAAGGAAGTAAAGAGGGACAGACGGACGGACATGAGTAACAACGATGCACCCAAACTTTCTTTAGGAAGTTTATAAAGAAAGTTTGGGTATAACAATACAGAATGTGAAAGCATAGCAGGGATTTGAGGCAATATTTTATTAAGGTCATTCGCAACGTCGTTTGAACTTTATTGGGTTCTTCCCTGGAGTAGAAGAGTACTACTAAAAGAAAGACGTGTGCAATATTTTTAATGTCTACATTTGGGTTTGTACACTTCCTCTAAAAAAAAATCTGGAATTTATGTTTCGTATTTTTTGTATATTTTTTATTTTAATAATGCAAAAATTTTCATAAAAGGATATCTTACAAAAACCCGTGGTAATGCATGCTGTTTTTTTTTCTCTATGAACATCTTATGGCATAATAATCTTAAGAATAGAAGGTAAGGTACCTTGCATATGTCCTTAATATGCTTAAACTTTGTAAGGCTATGAATTGCCATTGATAAAACAATTTTCTTCAAAGATTGATATTCATTCACATTTATGTTTACAGTATAAGTAGACATTTGAACGAGACGCAAATTAAGCGATTTCTCCTTAAAAATTCCATTTTTTTTTTAGCGAAAAGTACTTTTAGCGATTTTTAAAATGCTTATTTAAGAAGCTATTATAAGTAAAATTCAATTATTTTTTAGTGATATTCAATTTTAGCGATCTTAACACCCTTGCTAATAATGCCAAAATTAAATCCTTGCTAAAAATGCTGCTTGTAGGATATTTTCTCAAGACGTAAAGCTGTAGCAGTTTATACTTTCATATTAATATATTCTTACAAAATTATGGGCTCACTTGAAGAATATTTTATGTTGCGGGTTCGAATCTCACTGCGGGACGAGAAGACCGGTCCTTCGGATGAAACTGTATAAACCGAGGTCCCGTGTCGCAGTAGGTGCTTGCACGAAAAAGATCCCTAACTGCTAAATGATCCTAAGTGCTTTGTCAAAAAATAAATAACTTAATCTTATATTCATATTTATTTTATTCGAGGAATAGTTATCCATTGCTTAATAGTCGACTTTGGTAGGACCGTTGTTCGCCAGACAGTGCTTTTATTTACCAGAGCTGGTGCTTGGGAAGGAAACAATAGTGTAACAGCCACTTTTTTTGGAGTAGGTGATGGTGGTGTCATTTGAGAGGGTGTTATTTGTATTACTTGATTTCCATTAATTATTGCTGGTAAAGGTGAAGAGGGTGTGGGTGGCGTCAACTGCTTAATTTGATTCCTTGATGTCAAAGGTAGTGGAGACATGTTACCGTAATGAACTCCCAAATTCCCGTTTATTATAGGATAAATTAGAGGAAATCCGGTACTTTGTGCTATTGTTCCATTTTGCGGCTTTAGTTTTCCATTTATCATTGAGGAAATTGGTGGGGGCGGTGTAGCAAATCCACCTGACGTCTGATTTGAGATCATGAGCGACGGCAATGACGGAGAAGGGACCGATGGTGTTGCCATTCCATTTTGTACCAATTGGTGACTGATGGGAAGATGTTGCTGATCTACTGTAACTTGAGTTGGGAATATTTTTGGTGATGTGACATATCGATGTGTCGTGCGCTTATCATTAGTTTGATGTTGATGATTGTTTAATGGTTTGGATTCTGTTCAAATACACATATAATAAATAAAGAAAATGTAAGCCATATTCATCTAAACTAGTTTACGATTCAATTTAATAGTAATTATTAATTAAATATGACAGAAGTAGAAAAGGTCAACAGTTTCATGGCTCTTCTACCTCTTTTGACTGGTAAACTGACTTTCAACATAAAGTCTCAAAATTAACAAAAGTGTATTTATTTATTTTATATTTACCATGTCTTGTAGAACAATAATGACCATAACACGGCCATTCCTCGTGACCATAATATGGACATACGGGTACTTCTTTGAATCCTATGCGACATCCTCTGTACCTGACATAAACACCGGGACCACAGGCAGAAGAACAGCCACTCCAAGGCGACCAAAAATGCATTTGGTACAAAGGGGGAACTACATAAGAAAAGAAATAAATGATCTCAGTACTACAAAACGGTAACGATACAAGCATTTCATAAGTCTGCATAAAACACTCAAAAATAGAAGGAATACACTGACCTAAAATATTACTTACAAAAGAATATGAAAACAAATCATAGTTTATTTCTTTTTTTAATACAATGTAAGAAAATGTAAAGTTGCTCACAAAAACGCTTTTGAAGCACATCCTCAGCTTTCCCTAAAAAAAAAAAAAAATTATTAAACGGTTGTATTTTTACGGTTGGCGAACAAAATTGCTATCGTCTACTTCATTAATTATGTCATTAGTGTTGATTCCATGTTATTGAAAAATAATGCTTCTTATTATGATCTTGAATGCCTCTGTCATGCCGTGCTACCTGGTAAATTCAAAATTTAAAACATTTCACTTTAAAACGATCAAGAAAGATGACAAGTAGTTCTACTTATCGTTCTTTGTCGTGCTTACTGTTCATAATGTTTTACCGATGTTGTTACAATTTAAACAGTGTGAATACATTAATTCCCAACTGTGATCTTTTTAAAATCCTTTCACATATAATATTTCCTTCAGAAACATCTTACTCATGAAGTCACCCAAAAGTTAATTATAAATGAATTGTCACTCTTCTAAAATAAAAATGATAACATATTGATCTTACCAGGACTGTGTAGAAGCAGTACAAAAATCAAAACCGAGAAGGCCAACATGCCATTTAACCTGCCTTATCTTAACCAGAAAAGTTTGTGTGGACTTCGTTCTATCATCCTAGAACGTTACTGATCAAATTAATCCCAGTATCACTTATAATTTAAGCCATTTTTGTATGTGATGAACATCTTCATTCAATTACTTTTTTGATACAGAATCTTAAATTGCATTTTAAGGCAATAGTTTTGTGAAATTCAAATCTGTTTGTGAATTCTAATTTTTAAAAATTATAATTTCTTTTTGGAGGGGAAGGGGCTGCGCTCAGTCGAATTTCATTCCTGCAAAATTAAAAGGACGAATCTCTTCGGGAAAAGAAACAAGCTAATTCAGAGAATTTGTGTCCCCCGCTTAGGGAAAAAGTCAACCATGCGCAGTTCGGGGGGTGGGGGGTCCGGATCCCCTTGACTGAATTTGTAGATTTATGAAATGTATACATGTATACTGAAACAAAATTTATAAAATATGCCAATATGGATATTAATTTATAAAGATTTGATTCCTTATTCTTTATTATGTGTATAGATGATTCTTTTGATATGGAATATGTATCACACTGTAATGATGATTTTATGAGTTTGTACAAGCCAGACCTCATACATTTTCCATTTCACATGCTGAATACTATCATTTAGTTTTTAAAAAACCCAAGTATTTCGAAAAAAAACACAATTGGTTCGACCGAGATGCGAACCCGAGCCCTCTGAGGTACGAAGCGAGAGCCATACCACTAGACCACGGGACTGCTTTTTAGTTTATACTGACACTAATTCTTTGCAAAGATGAAGCCACATACATGTGTATATTTTCACGTTCGATATTGTTTAGTAAATGTGTTATCGTACGAACTATCTAGTGTATGTGTAACCTTTTCATGTACGACTGAATTTGTACCTTGTAGTTTTAGCGCCATATTGAATAAACGTGTTTGTGTAAACTCGGTGTTCTAATTGACAATTAGCGAACCTAGCCATCCAAACATGGTGTCAGAAGTGTTCCTAGAGTAGAAAAATGCCGAAGTTCAATCCACCTGAGTGTTTCGCCTTTACCAGGCCAAATGAATGGCCGGAATGGAAACAACGATTCACGAGGTTTCAGATCGCAACGAAGCTGACTGACGAGGATGAACAAATACAGATAAGTTCATTGATATACGCCATGGGACCAGAGGCAGAAGGAATATTCAAGTCTTTCGCACTCGCTAATGGTGACGAGAAGAAATTCAAGAAGGTACTTGAAAGTTTTGACAAGTATTTCGTTCCAAAGAAAAACGTGATTCATGAGCGCGCCAAATTCCACATCCGGAGCCAGCGCCAGGGAGAGTCAGTTGAGGAATTCGTCAGAAATTTACAAGAACTGGCTGCACACTGTGATTTTAGAGATAAGAGCGACCAAATCCGAGACAGGTTAGTCGTGGGCATTATCGACAAAGAACTTAGCGAGAAACTACAGCTTGAATCTGAACTTACACTCACGAAAGCCGTCGAGATGGCACGTAATTCAGAGTTAGTGAAACATCAGATTAAAGACTTACAATCTAAGAACTTAGATGCAGTGAGATTTAGGCAGCAAAATGGACAACAATCTAAACACAATTACAGCAGACAGCCTAAAGCTAAGGAAAGGGTTTACAATAACTGTGACAAGTGTAATATGAAACACAATCTTGGAAACTGTCCGGCATCAGGGAAGAAATGTCTAAACTGCGGGAAAAAGGGACACTTTAAGATAGTTTGTCGAAGTAAACCCAAACACCTAGAGGAAGTTCAAGGTGCATGTTCATCACCTGATTCATTCTACATGGGTTCTATTGACCTAAGCGAGTCGGACAATACAGACGCATGGACAGTAAAGCTGAAGATATGTCGGAAGTACATTACATTCAAGATCGACACTGGTGCTGACACATCCGTGATAACTGAAGCGACGTACAATTCATTGCCAGTAAAGCCCAAACTGCAGGCTTCAACAAATCAGCTGTACAGCCCAGGAGGATCGGTAGAGTGTAAAGGGATGTTTGTTGCTAAGACTTTTCACAAGAACAATGAGTTTCATTTTCGAGTGTATGTGCTTAAGAACTCTAACAGTGGTTCTAATTTGCTCAGTCGAAGTGTCGCACACCGTATGGGACTTGTTATGAAAATCGAGGAAATTCGGGATGTGTTTGGTACACATGGATGCGTCAAGGGCCCCCCGTCAAGATAACGCTTAAGCCTGGAGCTACACCATATTGCGTCACAACAGCTCGCAGGATTCCATTTCCATTGATGCCCAAGGTCGAGGCCGAACTAAACCGCATGGAGAACGCTGGAATCATTGCGAAAGTCACAGAACCGACAGATTGGTGCGCACCCATCGTGACAGCATTCAAGAAAAACGGGGATGTTCGGTTGTGTGTGGACCTTAAGAAACTAAACCAGGCAGTCAAACGTGAACATTATATGTTACCCAACTTGGACGACATTGCCCCAAAGCTGTGCAAGGCTACAGTCTTTTCGAAACTTGATGCTAGTAGTGGGTTTCACCAGATACCTCTAGATCCAGAGAGTTGTCACCTTACTACCTTCATAACTCCGTTTGGACGGTACTGCTTTCAGCGGGTTCCATTCGGTATTACGTCAGCCCCTGAAATATTTCAGCGTCGTATGTCAGAGATATTAGCAGATATTAACGGAGCGGACGCCATAATGGACGATATCATCATATATGGGAGTACGGTGGAGGAGCATGACGAGCGTCTGGACCGCGTGCTAGACCGTATCAAGGAAGTTGGTCTGAAACTCAATAAGAAGAAATGCGAGTTCAGGAAACGGAGCATTGAATATTTTGGGCACATGATTAGTTCAGATGGTATCAGTCCATGTCCAGAACGTGTGCGTGCAATACGTGAGTTGGCTGCACCAACAAATGTGACTGAACTTAAGAGAATTCTTGGAATGGTGAATTATCTCGGTCGATTTTTACCTAACCTTTCTACGGTTATGCACCCCCTTACTGATCTTTTGAAGAGTGACTCGGTATGGATATGGGACAACCCCCAGGAAGAGGCCTTCAAAAGAGTGAAGGATATGCTAACAGAAACACCTGCATTAGCCTTCTACAATTCTTCAAAGCCAGTCGTGATTAGTGCAGATGCCAGCAGTTATGGCCTAGGAGCCGCTATATTTCAGCAGTTTGATGGTCAACTTAAACCTATTGCGTTTGCATCGAGGACACTGTCACCGGCAGAAACCAAATATGCACAGATCGAGAAGGAGTGTTTAGCATCTGTATGGGCCTGTGAGAAGTTCGAGCGCTACATCATCGGACTCGATTCGTTCAAGCTCATCACTGATCACAAACCTCTCGTTCCGCTCATTAACACTCAAGCTCTAGACAGGACACCTGTGAGATGTCAGAGACTTTTGATGCGTTTACGCAGATTTAATCCAGTAACAGAACATGTGCCAGGGAAAAATCTCGTGGTTCCCGACACTCTTTCTAGGAGCCCGCTAACTGGAAACGCTGAGGATACAGAAGAGGAAGTCAATCTCTATGTCGACTGTGTTATACAGAATATTCCGATATCGGACCAACGGCTAGAGCGCATTCGATTAGCTACAGCAGATGATCCAGAGTTGTCTGAAGTTTTGAAGAAGACTCAGAACTGGTGGCCAGACCATGAGAGATCACTGAAAGCAGAAATCCGACCATACGTTTCCGCAAGATCCGAACTGTCTGTCTGGAATGGAATTCTAATGTACAGAGACCGATTTGTTATTCCGGAGGCTCTTAGACCAGAAACATTGCAAGACATACATTCAGGACACTTAGGTCTGAACAAGTGCCGAGAACGCGCCCGAGGAGCTGTATGGTGGCCAGGAATATCAACAGATATAGAGCGTACCATAAAGTCCTGCGAATTTTGTCTTGTTCATCAACCGAAACAGAACCGAGAACCTTTGAAGACTACAGTCCTTCCAGATCGTCCTTGGCAAAAGATAGCCGCAGATCTGTGTGAGCTGCAGGGTAGACATTTCCTAGTAGTTACAGATTATTTTTCTCGTTACCTGGAAATTGCGTATCTGGATTCGTTGACTAGTGCTCACGTAATTGGAAAACTCAAGAACATATTGGCTCGTTGGGGTATTCCAGAGGAATTGGTAACCGACAACGGCACCCAGTTTACATCAGACTCTTTCAAGAAGTTCGCAGCTAGCGCATACAACCACTAGTCCTCACTACCCGCAAGCAAACGGTGAGGCGGAGAGCGCTGTTAAGACTGCGAAGCGTATATTACAGCAGGATGACATCTTTGTTGCGCTTATGGCGTACCGTTCAACACCCATCTCAACCACAGGAGTCAGTCCAGCCGAACTCATCATGGGACGGAGGATTCGAACCGTTGTTCCAGTCAAACCGTCTTCACTAGCACCAAAGTGGCCGGACTTGGACCAAGTGAGGAGACAGGACGCACGAACGAAGGAAACTTCGAAATATAATTATGACAACCGATTTGGGGTTAGGAAACTCCACCCGCTTGGACCCGGAGACCAAGTTCGCATCAAGACCGACAAAGAGAAACAGTGGACAGATAGTGGCACAATCACTAGCGCAAATTACAAAAATCGATCATACCTAGTGGAAACCGATCATGGAATGTTGAGGAGAAATCGGAGGCACTTGCAGCATACTGGATACGTGAACACCGAATTGCCACATACCGTAAATGTGCCGTATCCGTTAACCGACAGTAAACCAAGTGTTTCATCTGACGTTGAGCCACCCTCTGAGCCGCCTAGCCAGGAAGTTACATCTCCTTCTGTGAAGTCCAAAACCGTAACACGTTCAGGACGCGTCGTTCACAAACCCATAAGATTCAAAGACTACGAATGAACATTTGTGAACTCTTTGTGTTATAATGATCTGATTTGTATGTAACAAGTAATGCATGCAATATGAGTTTTATTTGTAGCTTATGTTTTATTCTAGTCATTTTCTGTGAAATCCTAGTCATAAACTTTTAGAGGGGAGATGTTTAGTAAATGTGTTATCGTACGAACTATCTAGTGTATGTGTAACCTTTTCATGTACGACTGAATTTGTACCTTGTAGTTTTAGCGCCATATTGAATAAACGTGTTTGTGTAAACTCGGTGTTCTAATTGACAATTAGCGAACCTAGCCATCCAAACAGATATTGTCAAAATTTTACACAATGCATGAAGTCTAGTTTGACCTTTATTAAACAGACTAGTTTTAATAGATGTAATAAGAATATAAAGTCCTCAGAGAACCTGTTTTATACGTAATAACTCTCCTCATGCCCCTGTGCTAAAAATAACATGTAATACAATAAATACTAATAAAACAAAAGGGACACTTTGAGAGGGGTAAGAGAGGTCCTAGGGAGTTTTGGTATACAATTACATTGCAAAAAATCAAAAACTTCTTGAAATATCGCCCGGAAAGGAAAGTGTTTCATACAGAGAGAATGTATCATTTTAGGTTCTTGAACTTTGACCTTTTGACCTTAAAATCAATAGGGGTCTTCTTATGCCACAGGGAGGTGTTAAGTAAAATGTCATTGCAAAAACTCAAAGGGTTCTCCAGATATCGCGCGGAAACGAAAGTTACAGACAGACAGAATGACGGACGGACAGACAGACCCAAATTAATACCCCCCACTGGTTCAACTAGGGTATACGGATAAGTAGTTCCATAAAACCGATTAACATCTTTCAAATTTAAAATTTGATAAGAAATAGTTCCTTTTATAGTAGATAGTGGGAATATTTTGCCTTATTACTTCAAATAAATCCTTTTAAAAATAGTCCATAAGAAGTCCCCTTTACAAAAAAAGTTTCACAATTCCACATTAAACCTACATTGACATTAAAAGGGTCGACAGTTGACACCTCTTACTAATCAACAATGTCACCACAAAGGTCGACAGGTCGACAGTTGACACCTCTTATTGGTTAACCTACAATGTCATCACAAAGGTCGACAGTTGACAACTCTTATTAATTTTCAAACCCATCTGAAATATAAGGGTTAGTTTTCAAATTCACTTGAGAGATAAGGGTTAGTATTCAAACCAGGCTGAGAGATTAGGTTTAGTACTAGAACCTCCTGAGAGATTAAGGTTAGTTTTGAACCCACTTGAGAGATTAAGGTTAGTTCTTGAATCCACCTGAGAGATTAGGGTTAGTTCTAGGGTTAGTTCCAGAACCCACCTGAGAGATTAGGGTTAGTTCAAAAGCCCACCTGAGAGATTAGGGTTAGTTATCGAACATGATAGATTAGGGCTATTCCTCTATCCAATGTAGAGGTCAACCAGTCGACCTGTCTACCTTCCGACCCATCTACTTGTCAACCCGCCGACCTGTCAACCAGTCCACCTGTCTACCCATCCACCTTTCAACCCGTCCACCTGTCAACCCGTCCACCTGTCTACCCGTCAACCAGTCGACTTGTCAATCCGTGGACCTGTCTACCCGTGGACCTGTCAACCCGTCGACCTGTCAACCAGTCGACTTGTCAACCCGTCGACCTGTCAACCCGTCGACCTGTCAACTTGTCGACCTGTCAATCCGTCTTATGCTGGAAAACTTCTTCTAATTTTCTTTATTTATTATCCAACATCGTGCATTAATTCGAATTTGGCGCATGAATCCGATCATAAAGCAAGGCGCATTATAATTCAAATTTGGCGTATGAAAATATTTTTACCGGGACTACTTATACATATATCCTAGTTGAGCCCCCCCCCCCCACTTTTCAAGCGGGGGACAAATAGGTACAATGAGGATAAGGATATTTGACAGAAGTAAAAATGTAAAATACCTAAAACCCTGCAGCGGTACATTTTTGTGCCCTGCTATCACGCGGATGCGTTACTTGCAAATCTGAACCGCGTATATTGTCAAAAATTTTTGCATAATTTTTTCCCTGGTAAATAGGTGATAATATTTGTACAATCATGCACACAGCGCTGGTGATAATATTTGCCGTTTACTCCATGATTAGGAAGGCCAAAATTTTCAATGGGACTATGTCCCCACTATTAACAATTTTAATGTGCCAATTTCAAAATTATTGGGCCATCTAATTATTCTCAAGGGCCATTTTGAAAAAAAAAATGACATATCATATATAATACATTCAACATTTGTGAAAAGATTGTAAAGATCTTTGGAAGTCATGAGACTTATTTCCATTCCCCTCAAGGCGAATTTTCAGAAGTTTTTCACTTAAAACTGGTGACAGTCTATTTCTTAGTTTATTGACAATGATATTTTGCTGCCAGCCGTGTGAAGAGGTAGAACAAGGGATATCATGGTCAGCTTAATGAGATCTGGTAGCTGATCAGAATGGTGCTGTATGACCAAGTCCCACAGTGTCTCCATGCTGTCAACAGGATATCTAGCATCCTTCACTATGACTTTTGCCTGCATCCGCTGATGAAGAACAGCATCCTTGTCCAACATTGGCTCTGATTTAGAACCCTTGTGATACTGAAGAAAAAGTTTATTTATTCAATGAATAATCAAAGGAGATACACTTACTTTAGACTTAGTTTAATTAAACACTTCATCCTAGAAAACATACCAGATCTTAAGGGATGTTTATATAACTTGAAGAAAGATTGTAAATATACAATCCTGAAGAAAACTTACATAAATTTATGGCATGACAATTTGGGCAGCTAAACTACGTCCTTATGTTAAAATTAAAGATCAATTTGGTTTTGAAAATTTTTCTTGATACCATCAAAAATTTTAAGTTGAGGAGATGCCTGAGTAGATTTCGAATATCTTCACACCATTTACAGATTGAAGTTGGAAGGTTTCATGGTATCCCAGCACACATGCAATTATGTTCAAAATGTGATTTAAATGAGATGGAGGATGAAATACATTTCCTCTTTAAATGCACTAATTTCAAAATATTGCATATGATATTTGAATATTACTACGTATACATTGTTACTTTTTAAAAATTATTGTTGTGCTCCTTTTGCCTATCTACATTAGACATGAGGAGGAATGCAACCTTTTATTCGTTTTAGATATTTGACTAGAATCCATGCATTTCCTGAAGCATCGTCCCTTGATGTCTTTTGTAGACTGGCAACCATTTATAGACCTTCTTCTTATAATATATTTACAATATTTGCACACCACCATGGTAAAATTGGTTTAATCTTTTTATTCTGCTCATTAATGAGAAGCTAATATGGCTTTTTACAAGTGAATGTGTCAAACTTAAGATAAATAAGTCAATCCATATAAAATTATTGTACATATATGATGTTGAGTAGTGGAATTTTACGAGAAGCACTGACTTCTACAGTTGACGATTTACTTGGACATTTAAACTTGTATCATGTACGGAAGTACAGAATTGATAATGCATAAGAAAACCTTTCTAGTAGTCATAGGTTTGGTATTAGGGGCACTAACATGTGAAGATTGGGAGTTAAGAGTAGGGTGGTTGTCGTTTTCTTCGAGGACAACTTATATGTGCATTGAAATAACCCATTATTTACGTTTAATTCAATGTTGAGCTAAATATTAATATCATAAAAGAGCTACCGTACATAGCCTTAGTGTAAAAGTTAGCGTCAACTGTAAAAGTCAGCGCTCCTCGTAAAAGTCCATTACTACATTGTTACTTTTTAAATTATAATTGAGCTTTTTTTGCCTATCTACTTTAGACATAAGAGGGAATGCAACCTTTTATTCATTTTAGATATTAGACTAGAATTTGTGCATTTCCTGAAGCACCGTCCCTTGATGTCTTTTGTAGACTGGCAACCATTAATAGACCTTCATATTTTAATATTTTTACAATATTTGCACATCACCATCTTAATATTGGTTTACTCTTTTTATTATGTTCATGAATGAAAGTTAATATCATGGCTTTTTTAAATATACAAATGAAAATGAGTAAATCTTCAGATTATTAAGTCAATTCATATCAAAATATTGTATATAATTTTTGAATATTACTATATTGTATTTACAATATTTGCATACTACCATGGTAAATTGGTTAAATGTTTCATTGTGTACATTGTCTCTATTTTATGTGATAATATACTTGTATCTGTGTTATGCCCCTAGTGGGACCATGATTGGAAATAAATTCTATTATATTCTATTCTGTAACTTGATTGGGAAAAAAGTTCTATGAACAAGTCGAAATTTAAAGCCTCTTTATTATGA